CATCTGATGAAAGAAGCCTGTAAGCTGACCACACAAACCAAAGGCAAGATGAATACTGCCCATTCTGAATTCAATCCCTGAGGCCAGAGCTGATAGGATTATTTCCAAAAGATGAAAAGTATAAAACAAAAGAGGCCTTTATTCTGAGAACACGGAGAGAAATGACTGGCACGCCGGCCGCTGAAATCCAGCAATCTCTCTCGGGGACACGTAGGTGGGGGAATATAAGTAGCCTAAGCTTAGGGCAGTGCCCTAAGGCCATTAGAGATGCACAGGTATTTCATTGGCACACGTTTGGCACCAGGGGCAGATTCCAAAGGGTGGGAGGATACAGGATTACAGGTAAATCTCTAGGGGCGGGGAGACAGGAACTCCGTAATTTTGGCTGAGGCTTTTTCTGGCTACAGTGTCCGGTCTGGATCAACAACCCTTTCAAGAACCAATGTGCCTACTCTTGCAGCATGAGCTGAAGTCAGCTCCCCTACACAGCAGAGAGATAAAATGGGAGATGATGGACAAGCAAAAGTGGGTTGGGGGGTGGGGGACAGAGATGTTACCATGACAGAGGATAAGATGCTGGGCATAAAGAGCTAGATGTCCACCAGGACAGGAGCACTGTCCCTAGTGTATCTAGCACACCCAACACAACTCCATCTTGAGGTCCCTGGGCATCCTTATCCTTACTGCTTTGCTTTGTTTTTCAGGTACACATAAATGTTTAATCAGTGGGTGTGTTAATGGCTGTTAAATGGTAGTTGGTGAAGTTTCAAGATCCTTAACATCATACAACACATACGAGCACATATAAACATACATAAGAAGTTGTCAAATATGCACATCATTAGAAGGAATACATACTCATTAAAGTTTTTGAAAAATAAAATTTAAACAATTCAAAATGATCAGCCTCATAAGCCATCAAAGCTTATGTAGTTCTAAAATTGTTTATAAATTTTTATTAGAATCCTGTGAACATCTTTGTATATCAAGCTTTTAAAAAAAAAAAAAGTTGTACTTTCAATTATTGATTCATGGAAAAATCCCAGAAGTTAAAAATGTGAACACTTAAAGACTATTGATATGATTGCTTCTTACATTCGTGAGTGACAATAAAAAATGATGACGGAGTGTTCAGTTACATTTGGGGTTTGCTTTTCTGTCACTTGCAACCAAGAAAGCCTGGGAATGTATTCTTATCTTTAATTTTATTTCATTTATATGTGGTAACAGGCCCACCTAGAAGGAAAGACCACTTTGGGGTCTCTATCAAATGTGGACCCACTCAGGGGTGAAAGGGAGACTTTCATGGGTGAGGTCCCTGGATGAAAGAGTGTACATGTGCAAGTCGTCAGTAACAACAAACAGCAGACAGCATGGAGCAGAGAAGAGCACAGGAGTTGCCTGCACCCTTATTGTAAAATTCTTATACAGGTTGCTACCACATATTTACATTCTTCTGTAGTGCCATAATCAGCACGTGTGTTTACCTGTGCTAAGTCACCGTGACATAACTATGTCCTACGGTGTGCTTGTGCTTGACAGGGAGGTCATGTCCTCAGGTGTCCTGAGAGCCCCCTGATCTTTGAAGCAGTCTTAGTGTTGTTCCCCACATCAAGAGTCCCCAGGGGGAGGTGAGTTCTCATTTCTCCCTAATGGGAGGTCTAACCAGAAGAGGCTGAGGTTCTGGCTGAGATCCCCTGCTCCAGGGACAGAGCAGGAAAGGCCAATGCAAAGGCCCCTGCAACACATGTGCACAACAGCCTATCCAGGTGCTCCATCTGCTGGCACCATGCACAGGGGATGTTAATGAGCTGCGGGCAATGTTGCCAACAGGCAGCATCAGCTGCAGAAGGGCTCACTGCCTGGAGGCTCCTGGAGGGAGTGAATACCCATCCCATCCATAGAGCCCTGCCCAGAGCATCTGCTGATGCTTCAGAACCCAGCATTCCTGCAACAGGGACCTCCTCCAGGATGCTGCGCACAGAGAGCTTCCGAGCCCAAGTGGCTGCCCGGAGGTCCGTGTCTCTCAACCTAGCTGTCCGGCTGAAGCCCAGTCCATGTTAATGTACAAATAGCAGTATACTGTAGACATGATATACAATGTAACTGTACTGTTCTTTTTTTTTCCCCCCTTTGATACTGGAAATCAAAGCCAGGACCTCATGCTTGCCAGACAGGTACTGTGCTGCTGAGCTATGTCCCTGGCCCTGTACTGGGAATTTTAAAACACAAGCAAAATACAAGCCCCAGTTTTTCTTTATCAGATTCAAAAGTTTCTAAATGTTCTTGGTTTCTGATGGGACTTCACTGGGGACAGGAGCCAGCCTAAGTTAGTCTGGCCACTTATGATTAGAGCTGCTCCAGGGGAGCCTCTAGCTTTGTTTTCAAGTTTCCAGGGAGCTTCCTGCTTAAATTTCTTCATGCTTCCTACAGTGTGGGAAAGCCAGCAGCTTGGGTGGGTGGGCACCACTCCCTCCCCTCAGTAACTCATCCCTCAAGCATCTTTCCACCCGATGGCAGGAGAGGCACCAAGTGGGAGGGAAAGCTAAGTCTAGGACAGCTAAGGCCCATAGTGGAGAGGCAGAAGGGTTTGCATCTGCCCAGGGTCAGCAGCTACTCTACGTCTTCAAAGGTTCTATTACTATCCTATATTCAGACGATTTTTTTTTTTTTTTTTTTTTTTTTGGTACTGGGGATCAAACTCATGACCTCACCCTTACGGGGCAGGCACTTGTACTGCTAAGCTATACTCCTGGCTCCACATTATGATTTCGTTTGTGACTTTATTTCATCTCCCCCCACTAAAGGTTTCTTTCAACTGAGTATGTGTTATGTCCTGCCTCATTTACAAACAAGGGATCTAACATATAAGAGAAAAAACTAAAATGAGACAAAGGAAGAAAAACAAAGAAGGGGAAAGAAAAAGATGAAATGAACAAAAGGGCCCTCATCCCTTCCACAAGGCCACAGGTACTTTTTTAAAAGCCAGATCACAAACATGTTTGTGAGCATCCTGTCAGCTAGTGTACAACTCAGTGTTGACAGGATAAAATATCAACTGCTCAGAGATGGTGCTATTTCTGGAATTTTAAAATATCAATCTAAGTCTCCAGAAAGAAGACACAATTTGGCATTGGAAATGAAGGATGCAAACTTGTCTTCAAAAATGTAAGAAATGTTGTCAGTCTTGCCTCCCTTTAACTTCCTTCAACAGGAACACGCTGGAACTAACTCTTTGAGAGAGTTACTATTCCAGCAAAGTCATTTGTAATTTTTGAAAGGTCTGGCTAAATCCAAAAGGGGTCACAACTGCACAGAGTATGGTGCAGCGATCTCTAGGAGTCTCTGGAACATTTCCTGGGGTCTGTGTGGTCAGAACTATTTTTACAATAATACTTTGGCCTCTTACGAGTCCAGAAGCCACACAGAGGTATTGCAACAGACCCAATGCAGAGCAGATGTGAGAATTCAGCCATGTTTTGTTAAACCAGGCACTGAAGAGATTTGCAAATTATTTTTTGTCTTGACAAATTTTTCACATAAAAATATGTGCTATGATATGGATGACTGCTATTCTTCAAGGATGCAATATTTTTTACTTTTGTTTCAATTTCCAAGACAGCAAACCACAATTGATATAACAGCCTATTTAAACAGAATCACTGTGGAGTTCTTGGAAATTTTTGAGAGTGTACAGGTGTCTGGAGACCAAGAAGTTTAAGAACCTCGGGTCTAAAACAGTTCTCCTTTCTGCTGTGAATCACAGAAAGTCAACTGTGGAAAATGCTCTGTGATCCACACGCTTGGAAACTGCTGGGCCTGTCATGGAAATCAGATCAGAAGCCAATAAACCCACCTGCCATTCCAACTGTGTCCTGAGGCACTTGGCTAAGGTCCCCTTTCCAGGGCTCCCCTGATTCTCCAGGGCACACGCAGGGACTCACAGTGACTCATAAGGCCTGGTCATCCCCCATGGACAGCATCTCTTGCCACTCACTTCTGTCAACCGCTGACCACAGCCTTAAGTTACCAGTCTGACAACATGAGAGTGATCCCGGTACAAACAGGAAGGTAATGAGCAGGAAGGACAGCCCTTCCCCTCTGCAAAGAGGTCACCCAGGTCCAAGGCCCCCCTCCAGAGACTATTCTGGGCCTCTCTGCTCAAAGACAGCCAGGCAAGGCCCCAAAGGACTGAGACACTCAGACACAGTTACTTTAGGGTGGACATCTCCCAAAGCAGATGGCGCCACACACACTTGCCTCACTCGTAAAAACAGCCCAAGTAAACATCTGCAGAAGGGTGACTTTAAGTTACACAACTCCTGGGTGCCCCTCCAAGGGAAACAGCGGGCAAATGTATCCCTAATTAGTCAGCTTCCTCTGCTGGGCTGTTAACAGCAAGTCAATTAACTGTTAGGGAATGCTTACGAAAAATGATGACTTTAGTTTCACAACTATCAATCTTACTTCTTTTTGACAGTAATTACATAATTGGGCCAGTTGTATATTAGGAAAAATGCTAAGCTCCTAGCAATAAAATTACTGTATGTCATCAAGCAGCTCGCCTAAGGACAGTAATATGCATGATACTCTATTATAAAATGGAAAAGGTGTCTCTTTGGAAGCACATTCTGTAAGGGGCTGGACCAGGCACAGAACAGGACAGAACAGCACAGGAAAGAAAGTTAAAGAAAAGAGGAAGGAAGGTAGGAAGGAAGGAAGGAAGGAGACAGGAATGGAGGGAGTGAAGGAAAGGGGGAAAGAAAAAGAGTTCGCACTCCCATCTGGTAAAGTACCTACAGAACTGGCATTCAATTCAGTAAATATTTATCTCAATAAATATACCATTTACCTTTAAGATGTTTACTTATATACAAATGTGTAAATAAATGTATGCTACACAAATAATAGTAAAATACAATCTAATCCAATAGTACTTCTTGATGCTGTATCTACTTACCTTAACAAAAAAAGATTTATGAAGAAAAAAACATACACTGTTCTAAAATAAAAACAAATCGTTTTAATAGACCTATTTTTCACTTTCGTTGATTCACCCCTGATTTGTACTACGCCCATGTACCTGTGCGGTTTGACCCGCTTTATACTTATTTATTTTTCAGCATAGAGCAATCTTCAACAGGAGATGGTTCAGCGGAACTGTTTATTCTTAAACAGCACAAGTACCTTGTCCTCAAAGAGCTTTATCAACTTGAATATTTTCAAAGAGCCCCAGGAGGCAGCTCAGCATGGTGGTTCTTCCCTGAAGTCTCCAAGTCGGAAGGCTGCAGAGAGGCTGTGCACCTCCACAGACCCAAGGGCTGCTTGCATTCCTATCACAGCTTGGTAAGGGATAAACACTGAATGATAAACAGGTCTCCTGCAAACAGCCCCACAGCACAGCTTCATTTTCGAAAAGTCAACCAAATCATGCTAACCTTCCTAATGGTATAACGTGTCCAAGGGTTCTTTTGATATTAAAGAAGGGAAATATCCTGGTGCAGAGTCTTTTATGACAAGTACTCTCATTGACGGCATTTCAGGGTTTTCTCCTCCAGCCACCCTTCCATAGTGAAGTGATTTATTGTGTTCAAAGCAGAGTTGAAAGCATGAAGATGTCTACTTTCATAATCAGAGCTGGTGACAGCCTTCTCATTTCCTGCCAAATGGATCAGACCACACTTTTAACCCTATGGAAAGAAACATGAATAAAACAGGATTCATTTTGAAACACCCTAGTACTCCCCCTAACTCCAAGCAAACAAAATGACACTGAAATTGAGTTGTGTAATTTCCACGTGGCTGAGAAGTGAGAGCCAGCCTGGATCCCTGGAATGAAAGGGCCGGGAAGCAATGGCAGCTGAGGGACTTTCAAATGGCTCAGCTGAGGGACTCTGAAATGCCCCATCACAGGAAGATATGTCTCTGGCCTAGTTAGAAAATAAATAAGTAGAAAAGAATGTTACCACGGATTACAAAAGTTTTGGTGAATAAGCTGAAAACCTCTTATTCCAGGCCAACTTGGATCATCTTAAAGGAATTATCCATTCACCCATCAAGGGAGCTTTCTGAGCTTTTGTATAATGCTGAATCTCATATCAATTAAAACAGCTTACAAGTAAATACTATTTTCCCATGAAGGTAGCTTTAAATAGGTGCTTGGTAAATAAGTCTGCAAAACAGCTATTCACATTTTGTATCTAATTGTGCCCCGGTTCCATTTTTATGCCCACTTATCAGATGTTACAGAGGGATCCAGCAAATCTGTAAAAAGTGCTCCACAGATGAAAATGAAGTCCTAAATGGCACCTATAAAATGGCAACTATTGCAAAATAAATAGCAAAAGCAAGTTTCTAAGCTAAAAAGCACTCTCCCTTCTCCACAGCAAGGCAGATGCACACAAATTACACAACAGCATAAATGAGGTTCCATTTTGACGTTTTGACTTTAGGTTTACCTGGTGGCTGCACGTCTTCCTGAACAATCCCAGCCCGATTTATGGCTTGCTCCTTCTCTAAGAAACATAACAGAACAATTATTCTTTAAAATGGAGGAGAGCGCAGTCTTTGCAGTTCTATGGGCCAATGACATGGGACGATTAGGAGCAGTATTTATGAGTGTTTTAAATTTAGCAGTGCCATGACTCAAAGCTTTGAATTTGTGGAAGTTAGATCCTTCAATGCAAAAAGATTGGGTACATTCAAGAAAAGAAAGAAAAACTGTACTTCAAAAGAAAAGCTCCCAACTCACATAGATTTCCTGTGATCTCAGCATTTTGGAAAGCCAACAAAACAACAGACAAACAGCAATTTGGAAAGGACTGGTGGGCATGATACTGTGAGCGGAAGGCTGCTGACAGGGAGGAACAAGTGTAATTAGCAAGAAAATGACGCGGTTCATATGGCTCCAACGCACTCCACTGAAGGGCGAGACTCGGAGCTAAAGATGCTATGTTTTTGATAGGAAATAGAGCAGAAAATTAATCTTTGGTGGGTGGCTTTGGTTTGGATAACTGAAGCTTCCCTAATTGACTGCAGGTGCCCTGCCAATTAGCAAGTGCACTGCAGCACCAGTGGCTACTCCAAGCTCTTTGAGATGCTCACCAGGCCTGGCCAAAAGAAACGGCATTTTATGACTGTGGGCTTCAGGCACTCCAAGGCACATCGTTCTAAGAGGCTGAGAATAAACTCAGGTCTGTGGCAGCAAAGATTTGTTCAAGTCACTTGACAAACAAATGGCACTTTTTACATGACTTGGAGCCAAAAAATATTTATTACTAGAGCAATTATATGTTGTAATCGGACTTACAAAAATTTTTTTAATCCACAATTTTTGTTTTGTTTAATATTAGACCATTGGTCTACTTTGGTCTCTGGATGCTCATAAAGGTCCACAGGGCTACAGGTACAAAAAACAGTGTTTTGCTACCTCTAATGGTCAATGCACTTGCTTCTCTAGCAATGTGACAAGAAGTCAATCTGAAATGGCCTTCTTGATAGTTTCACCATTGCTAAATTTTGCTTAGCAAATAAAACACAGGATATGGAGATTATGGGACTCCCGACAGCCAGTCCTAAGAGGGAGGGGCCGGCAGAAGACACAGCGTACGGAGGCCAACCTCAGACAGGGGCCTAAGGATTGCACTGCACTCAATGACAGCACATGAACCGCAACCAAGACCCTCTGGACCCACATACTGAAAGCTGAAGACTTTTTCCAAATCCAGGAACAGTGTGGAACCTCTAGGGGGTTGCAACTCCTCCAAATAACTCCTCACAAAACAGACGGGTTGCCATTTACTGTGTGTAGGTTCTTGTAGGAGTGAGTCGCACCATGCTGTCCATACACAGATCTCAAAGTATGGCTGTCTCCCACACACTTGGAACACACCGACTGGTAAAAGATGGCTCTGAGTCTTAGCAGAAGCAAATATAAAGCTCCAGACCTGACAGGTCTATTCTCTGATACTATGAAAGTAAGAAGAGATGAGTTTTGATAACTGTCAACAAGCATTGCTAGACATGTGGGTTTAAGAAAATCAGTTGCCCTGGTGTACGGAACAGGTTCTCTGCGAGGCAGGTACCGCAAGCCCGGGCGCCAGCAGGCTGCCGAGCACCGGAGGATGCTGACTTCCAGCGCAGGCACAGAATGTCTAATTGTGTCCTAACCTCTTATGATGCAATGGAGAACCCAGGGCGAGAAAAGAATCCCTGTCTTCACACTTTCTTGCTAATTGCTAATGAGGCTGGCGAGAGGCTGGGGATTTGTCTCAAATAGACCGTAATCTCTTCCTAATCCTCATCCTCATGCAACCACCTCTACAGGACGGCTTGGACAGGCAACTTGAACCAGTTCCCACCGAGTGATAACCAGGTATTAGCAGCCTATCTACATCCGCTGGTTCTTTAATCCACTAATGTTTTATAAATACTCTCAGGCCAAAGCAGTCTTATGTAAATTCTCGATGCCACACAATGACACTTCATTTGTGAATGCAGAATATGCTGAAAGCCCAACAGAAAGTGGTCTCTCAGGATTTAGCAAGTGTATGTTGATGAGGCTGACAGGTTCCTCCAGAGAAACAGCAAATGTACATAAAGCACAGGGAAAAGGCACAGGTAGAGCCAGGGGGTTAACTGTGAGACCGAGGAAGCTAATTATGTACGGACTTCAGCCGTGGGTGAGCACATTTCCATCAGGAGTGAAATGATGAAAACCCAGCCATGGCACTCTGCACTAGAGAGCCACACAATTTCCCACTCCAGTGTCTTGGCAGGCCCGACTCTGCCCCCTGGTGCTAAGGCAGTGGTTTGATTTGTGGCTTTAATTGAGAGTCATTACCTCTAGTCAAAGGGCCAACACGCATTATTAAAGCTGGTGATACACGCAGGACTGATTCTTGTGCGGAGGTGAACGAACCCCCTTAATAGTTTTTAAGTCTTCGAAAATGAAAACATATCTTTATAGTAAATGTCCCTATTAGGAAACAAATCCACTGAGTGACTTTTTACAGTAACAAAGACAATCACAAACAAATGCAGTCCTCTGTGCCTCTCGCCGCCCTTGTAATTGTTGGGCAGGCTGCTCGAGAGGAGCAGCAGGTAGGAACCCACAGTACACAAGCAGATAGCAGTGTGTGGCCATCCACCTCCCCACCTCCTCCTGCCAGTGAGCAGCTGAAATAAGAGCAGCTCACATCTCGCTGGAATTGGGACAAACGTTAAAATGTGAACAGGCTGCGTATTCGATAATCACAATGGACTGGTGCTACACTTGCTAGCCTGGGTGGCTGCACTATAATTATGTAAGAGAACACCCTGGTTCCTGGGAAGCTCAGAATGAAAGCTCCTGTTTTCAGCTTACACGGGTAAGTGTAATTCCTTAAGTACCTGGGCATCTACACCACTTATGGGCGAGAAGGCAAACGTAGCAAATGTTAACAAGTGGTGAATCTAGGTGAAGGGTATAAAGGAATTCATTATGCCATTCTTGGATCTTTTCTGTCAGTTGCATTTCTTCTTTACAAAAAAAATAAGCGACTCCTAAACATACACATAGGTGCCTAACGGTGTGACTGTTCTATGACAACTCCAAAGTGGTCATCTTTTTTATGACACTAAATACAAATTTTTAGAAAACAGTCTTTCTGCTCCCATTTGGCCACCCTTGGCTGGACTCCTACTTATTTGCCAACAGAGGAATCCTCAACTAGGTGGCACTGGTGGCAAGTATGAACCGCAGGGCCACACAGCAGGAGTGAGCCAGCTGGCTGAGGGCAACCAAATGGCTAGCGCATCGGCTATGAACTAGAGGCTGAGGAGAAACCACACCAGAAGTGTGAGCCAGCGGCTGACAGGACGCAGACAGCCATAATGGTTAGTGTGAACTAAGTGACTGAGGGGACCCAAAGGACTCTAACGGCACATGCGACCCAGAGGCTGAGCACCCGGTATCACTAAAACAGCAAACGTAAACACAGGTAAAAGAGACCAGAACAGCCACCAAACAAATGTGAACCAGAGCTTGAGGACAAGCCATACAGCCCAGCAGCCCATGTGAGCCAGGTCACCGAAGGAGACCAAATGACCTCGCAAGTCACTGACTGCTCCTGGGCTGCCATCATGACCATCTGCTCAGCAGAGCAGCTGGGCGAGTGCAGTGAGCTCTGTAATGCCAGTCAGAAAACAAGGTTGGAGCCTGGGCACTTCATTCGATCTTATGGTGAATGGAATGAAAAGCATATTCTAAGCACAGAGCGTGTAACAGGGGAAACAGCCATGCATGGTAAGAATTACTTCCGTGCTGAGTGAGTTCTCGTAACCTTGTGCCGAGCGTACAACACACTTTCGGCGGGGGCAGCGAAACAAGGACATGACGGAGCTGTGGAACGGGGGCCCGCTTAGCACTCCTGGGTCCCCTTTCACTTCGCTGACTTTGAAACGCTCTTTATTTTCTTCACAGCACTGTGACAGGGCACTAGGAGGACAAGGCCAGGGGACGCTGGGGCTGGTGCTCACCCCACAATTAACAGGCTGAATGACCTCGGACAAGTCACCTCCATGAGAGCTCAGAACACTTCTGGTAAAACCCTACAATTTTATGCTCCTGCGTATCTAATTAAAAGTAAATATGAACAAGGTCACAGAAATGATCTACTATTTTTGTCTTGTTTCAGCACTTGGGCCTCAATGCCTAAACTGCAAGTTATTGGGAAAAAGCTGCATCAGGATCACGGTCTGCTTCTAGGCTACAAAGACTAATCAGGCTCCTAGTTACAGCCATCTGTGCTCTTCCCAGCAGTGCCCTCCCCTCAGACAAACGTGGTGGGATGACAACAAAAAGCCATGCCCGATGCTCCCTCCAGAAGCACGGAAACCTGTCCCTAAAGCCCCGCTCACCGAACCCAAGGCCGCCCCCGCCCAGCCCCAGTTCTCACTAGTCTCCAGGGCTTCACCATGGCACTGCCTGTGCACTGCAGGTAACACTTGTGAGTCCTGCTCAGGTACTCAGATAGACGCAGATTACACAGAATGTCAAGCCAGGTCAGATGAGGTAGCCTGTGATGGTGGCCCACCTACTCAGCAATCACAGAAGACCTCCTTGCCTCTGCTTTACCCAAACGGCCTCTTCTTTTCTGCTCCCTGGAGGCTAAACTTACCTGTCCCCACACACAAGCTGGGGCCCAGGCATAGGATCCAAAGGTGGCCTACACAGCCTGCCGCCTCCTCTGCCAGCCTCTGGCTCCACAGGCAGAAGAGCAAAGCAGAGAGCAGATGGGAGGCTGGGCGGGAGAGAGGGTCTGATCTGAGTGCATCCCGTTTCCTGTGTGCCATCACCTAAAGCAGCACAACCTGCCAACTTCAAACCCACCTCCAGGTGCGTCCACCCTGAGGCAGGGAAAAGTGCCTCGCCCTGGGCCCGAGGTCTTCCTCGCCCTGAGCCAGAGGCTCCTGCCACCTCCCCTCCACCGCGGTTGCCTCTCCAGTGCCTCTGTCATCTGGACCCTCCTACCTCCCCCAGCAAAGGTGAAGGTAAAACACATCCGCCCCAGCCTCCTTGAGCCTCTGCAAATACTGCTTTGCTATTCTCCTCTTCAGCAGCTCCAAGATTTTTAAATCCTCAATGTAACAGGCTCTCTGTTTACTCTTTAACTTGCTACAATTCACCTTTTGCCTACTTCCAAACCATGGACAGCATTAACAAAATAATCCGTATACTTTTACCTTTCTGCTAACTCTAATGGATATTTTTGTTTATCCTCCTTACCATCCCCAAGCAGCCACAGCCCTTTCACTGTGAGCTGGCCCATGGGCTCATGACAAGGCCTCCTCCGTTCCCCATCGCCAGACCTTCCCCCTGCAGTTCAGGGGCCTCTGTCTACCGTGTGCCTGTGTGTGCCCACCTGTGGGCACTGCCTCTGCACTGACTGCATCTCAGCTCCAGCCTGCTGATCCTGCATTCTCTGGGAAGTCCCCACGCAAACCTCCAGCTGTCCAGATGTGAACTGACTGGTCCTCCACCCCAAACCCATCCTCCTATGATTCCTAACAGTGAGGAGCAGCCCCTCTCCCCAGCTGCTGGAGCCTGGAAACTGAGTCCCCTTCCCCTCCTCTCCCTTCCGTGCCACTGGGGCTCATCAGCCTCAAATCCCTGCAGAGTTCACCTGGTCTCCCAAACACAGTCCTTCCTCCCCAGGCCCACAACCTCTACTCTAGTTCAGGTCAGTTCCCTCTCCTTGAAGTCCAGGGACTGACAGAACTGGCCTGACCCTGGCCAGCCTGGGGACAAGACACTCCCAGCACTGCCCTTCTCCACCGAGCAAATCTTACCACTCTTCTCTCCCTGTGAACGCGCTTCAGTAACTCTCCACTGGCTGCAATTCGAGAAAGCAGTGGCTTGCTGGAGTGTGTCAATAATAATCAAGATGATCAGATCAGAAGAACAAATGGAGACACAACAGGCTTTTCAATGGCAGAGCCAAAGAGCAAGGAGAGGGATACATCTCCTAACAAATCAAAACAGTTTCCCAGTTAAAAATCCTAACCCAAGAAACACTAACAGATGTACTGCAAAAAAAAAAAAAAAAAAAGAAAGAAAGAAAGAAATTAAAAAGGGGTGAGAGGCAAGAAAGATGGGTAAGAATGTGTGCAAAAGCTGGGTATGATGGTGCACTGCTGTAATCCCAGGACTCTGGGAGACTGAGTTAGAAGGATCTCAAATTTGAGCCCAGCTTGGGCATCTTAGCAAGACTTACTTTCAATACAGAAAATAAAAAGCTAGAGATGTATCTCAGTGCAAAGTCCAAGGGTTCAATCCCTAGTACTGCAAAGGAGGGGAGGAGGGAGGGAGGGACAGAGGGGTAGGGCAGGGCAGAGCAGAGAGGGGAGGGAGAGGAGGAGGGGAGGGCAGAAGGGGAGTGTGGTAAAGATAAATAATCAGAGACTATATAAACAGTGGTGACTCCAACTGACGGGGTGGGGAGTGGTAAGCACAGGCAGAACTAAAGAATACGGACGCGTTCTGGGTTAGGAAAGAGTGAGGTGGGGAGACCTCTGGCCATCTTGCTTGGGCAGGTACACCAAGCACCTAACAGACTGAGGTTCACAGTGACTGCTAAACTCCAGGTTCTAGACAGATCTTTAAAAAGCAGCTAAATAAATGCTAGTTGAAATGAACTAAAGCTTCTTCCAGAGTGGGATCCCTTCACCTGAACATGGACCCCAGATTAGTGCGAAGGCCCATGAGCCCTGTATCAGTGCACAGCTTGAATCTCTCCTCTCACATCCCTGCCCCTGTAGCTCCTTATTTGTCACATGTTTTTAAGGAGAAGATTACAGTAGGAGCTTCCACAACTACTGCCTTCTTTAATCTATCCCAAACCTTAAGGGATAGATCCAATGATGATGAGGAAACAGGTTAGGTTCTGAGAAGTAACTCACCTTAACGTCATTCCTCTACCAAGACACCAAGGGGACCTTTATCTGTCTCGTTTCCTTTTCTTAGATAGGCTGGGCAGTATAGTGCATCCTGCTTTAGAGACCAGAGGCACAGCTTAAATCCCAGGCCTGTGACTCATCAACTGTGGGGCTGCTGGCAAGTTACTGAACTGTAGTTTGTCCACATATGAAATGGTGACGTTCATGCAGCAGCTACCGGCTGCCACTAAATGGCTTACCATAGCATTCAGTGCTTACAAGAATGCCAAATACAGCTTTTCAATAAAGATTAGCTTGTTTAGCATTATTATTATTGTTATTATTATTATTATTTTGGTACTGGGGATCGAACTCATGACCTTAACATTATTTGTCTAAGGAATCAGTTATGACTCTCAAATATAAACTGGCCAAATTAATGGAAACAGAACCAGAAAAGTAAGCAGGCATACACTGCCTTCCAGTTTCAAATGCAGCTACTGTGGTTATACTCATGAAACATTTATTTACCCCAAAGGCCTGACTTAATGTCCAAAGCAATTTAGACAACCAAAGATTCTGGAGTGTCCCTTTGAGACTACTGTAGGGAACACATGACACAGACCCACACCACGTTATCTGATCAGAGAGGAATTGTGAAGCCAACATTTGGAGCTAGATAATTCTTTGGCATGGGGGCGCCTATCCAGAACATACCAGTAGCACAGTTACCTCCCTTTCTTTCCCTTAGCTGTGACAAACAAAAATGTCTCCAGAGAGAGCCTTATGTCCCAAATGCCCCTGGTGACAAAAACACTGCTAGAGAACCACTGCTAGAGCTTCACAAATGACATGTTCCTAACAGGACCCAATGCAGACCCTAGTTTACCTCCAGAGGCCACAGTAACATAGCCACCACAGACAGTGAGGGAACATAATGGAAACACTCCACACAGCTTCACACAGGCCCACCTTCGCCCTCACACATGGCACAGCAAGTGCTAACAGGCTGGAAGGCGGAGTGGACACCGGCCTTTTCAGCCTGGGCTGGGGAAAAGAAACTACAAGGAAATCTAAGTGTGTATTCTAAAGCTTCAGCTCTACAAGCTAAATGCAGGTTTCAAAATGGGCAGAGCATTTACATGGAGCTTTTGCCGTCAAATCGCCAAGCTTTCAGCCTCAGCTAATATCCTCCGGGGACAGGGCTGGCCCTCTTCCATCTTCGAGATGATTCAGGTTTCTTGGAGAACAAAATGAGCCTCTAATGCCTAATATTTTCTCTCTGACAGATGGTTTCAGATGTATCAAAGTGCTAATCCTTGCTGAAGTATAGGTCTCAAGGAAGGAGAGTTTGGCTTTTAGAATGATAGGCCTTGAATGATTAAGGAGGAAAATTACTCCCAGGATATCCACCATTGTCATGTGAGCGGCCAGCTCCAAATGAAAAAAACCAGCAGAATCTGATAAACGATTTGAGGAAAAACCGAAAAACCCAGGTTAACAGTTTCAGTCTGAAATATTTCCACTTAAACACATCTTTGGGACTGGAAATGAAGCGCAATAAAAACACCTTTCAGCTCAGGTTGATCAGGGTTTCATCTGCCTGCTCCTAGATCACTATGGGGGAAGCTCTGGAGACAAGAGGCCTGGGTTGACATATTTGTCTTGCCACTTACTAGAGGTGTGACCTTAGGCAAAGGTATCAGACCTCAAAACCTCGGTTCTCATCTCTAAAATGGGTTACAACATCTACCTAAGGGGAAGTCGTGCAAATAAACGGGTCTAAATTTCGCCCAACCTGATGCATAAGCGCTCATTACTAACTGTGAGCGTGAGATAGTATTTAGTGTCGACCCACTCTGTGCAGGCTGCTTTCATACACATCACCATCTCTGAGACACTCAAGGAGCTCCAGTTTTATCTCTGATGGTGCAGACATTGGTATTTATCGCTGGAACCCTAAGAGTCCGAGGGAGTGCGCCGCTGGTCCGTGATCGCAAAGCTGGACACGGCAGAATTTGAACCTGGCTCTCCTTGGGCCCTGTTTGTACACAGCACTACGTGCAGCAGTCACTCGGTGGGGGCTGAGGGAGCCGAGCACAACAAAAGCTCTCCCGCGGCAAAGGGCCAGTTCCTGGGGCCAGGCCACCGCGCGGGGTTAGAGGTCACTCACGGTACTCCTCCAGCCTCATTAGGGGCCGGAAGTAGATGGGGTAGAAGGCGGCGCCGACCAAAGAGATGAAGCCGCCGAAAATGAGCGCCGTGCGCAGGTTCCGGGACATGGCGCCGGGCGAGGGGCTGTGCTGGCCCAAAGAGGGCACCCCACGCGGGAACACACTGCTCCAGCTGGCCCGGCCGTGACCTCGCTCGGAAGTGCAGGGGCAGCTTTCGCTTCCGGGCCTTGGAGGCGGGGCTAGAGGCAGGAGTGGGGCAGGAGGCGGGATTCAGATTGGAGCTTTGGAGGGGGTGGGGCCGGAGTGGGCGGGGTCTCCTGTGGGTGGGGTTGGGCGGTGGGTGTGGCCTCTGGCCCGCACTCCACCTCACCCTCCCTCCCTGGCACGGGGTGGTGCTAAAGCAGGTGGCCCTTTGCCGCGGGAGAGCTTTTGTTGTGTCGGCTCCCTCAGGTTCTTTTTGCCCCCTTGCCTGCCCTGAGCCTGGTTCTTCTCCCCATCGCCCCCGTTGCCGCCCTTCAGACCTTTTGCCAGCCACGCTTCTCATCCTTCCCCGTTAATGTGGTATTTAGTGACTGCCCTAAGGCTCGCTCCTGCAATCAGTGGGCTCAGGTTACCGTTGAGGAGACCGCAATTTGACTGTGTGGCTTCGGAAAAGACACTGGCCCTTTTTGAGGGCAGATTGTGGGAATGGGAGCCAAATCGCCTGGTCCGCAATGGCATGAATGGTGTTTCTGAAACCCGAGCCACAAGAGCTTTTGACACAAACTGACACCCGCGTCCCCCACCCCTCCCGCCCCGTGTTCCCACTCCTTCCTCTCGCTCAGTGCCCTGTGCTAGGATGTCAGGGATGCCAGGAAGGACACTAGTCCCACTGATGGGACCCCAGGGCGCTGGGTGAGGGCCACTGAGGTCAGACATCTGATTGCCACCTTGCACCTCTGTCCCTTTCCTCCTCACAGGTGGGCTGTGCCTGAATATGAACTGCCCAGGGGATTGGGCAGCTGGGACCAAGATTCCTGGGCCTTCACTCTGACTCTTGCAAATAGCAATGATTTCAAAAGCTGGGGCTAGAGAGCAGAGAGTGTATTTATTTTGACCCTAGAGACATTATTTAGTCCAGAAAAGATGCACAATTTTTCTGAAATGGTATGAGCATGGTTTTCCTTTTTCTTTCTTTCTTTGTAGTTTTGTAGTTGAATCAAGATAACCATCTACCTCCATTGCTCTAGAAGCACATAAATCAGTCTTTCGATCTCTCAGCAGATTTATGGACTACCTGCCATGCCCCTACAAGGGACACAAGATGAATGAAACGTGACCCCTGCTGCCTAGAATCCTACTATGGAACAGGTATCTGAAGAGATAACTGATGACCCCCACAGCCTGTTGCTGATGAGTGATATGGTCCTGGGGCTACACAGGTACAGAGCAGGAAGACAGATGACTGTGCCATGAGGTGGCTGCTCCTCAGGCACCTGCAAGCATAAATGGATAAGGAGAGAAGACTTCTCAGCAGAGGGAACTTGCAATACAAGCTTTTATCACATGATAGAAAATCCCCAGGAACAGTGTGCATTTGTCATTTTAGTATCCCAGCATCCACTTCTCTTTTCCTGTTAATACCTTTTGCAGAACTGCAACTCTCCCAATCTTGGTAAGCTGGGGTTGTACTCTCCTGTGAGGTAAGCAAGGGCTCCCTGCCTTTATCCTATTTCTAGCTCTGAAAGTTAAGCACGTAAGTAAGCCCACCCAAGCTTCCTTGCACATGGATTGGTTAGCACAAGGCTTAAGTCAATGTAGTTGCATCTTCTTGGTCAGCTGGTCCATAGTCTCAGTTCTCCTGGAAAGATGAAGTTGGAAATAAGATGCTGGAGGTATGGGAGAGGCACCACTACTGACTGAAAATAAGGTCAGTACAGTAGGGGAAAGAGAGAGCAAGCTGATACTGCATCAGAGGCAGTCATTCCTGAAGGAAGGTCTACCCCGGACTGCTCAGTATCAGCCAGTGGAGTTGCCCTCTCGCTGAAGCCAGTGTGACCTGGGTTCTCTCCTTTACAGGACAGAGTCAGTCTTAGTTACTTTCTCATTGCTGAGACAGGATACCCACTGGACACCCTAGAGGAGGAAAAGTTTATTTTGGCTTATAGTTTGTAGAGTTTTCAGTTGACAGTCAGCTGTTTCCCAGGCAGGGTGACATGGCAGAGGAGAATTAATTGTTCATGACCTGGCAACCAGGAAGCAGAGGGCAGTCAAGGGAGGAGAGAGGGAAGTAGACCCTTCCAGGCCATGCCCCCAGTCACCCACCTCCTCCTCAGCATCACATTTAGCTATAAGTTCATGAGAGGACTAATCACCGGATGATTATCACATCTCCAAGATCCAGTCACATCCCAGAAGCCCTGCCTATGGATGCTTAAGGCTTTGGGTGGCTTCAGATGCAAACAATGTTCCTGATGAAACACCCACATATAATTCTGCTTGCTTCACACTGCACAAGCTACAAATCGAGAGCGACTATTTTCTAGACATGGACACTGGAAGCCAGAGAACTGAACTTTCTCAGGGGCACACCTTGGTAGGGAGTTTGTCTCAGGAGTTCCTGTCCCTCTGTGAACGAGGTTGGCAGGATATCTAGTCAAGGCCCAACCACGGGCCTCTGCAAGCCAATATGGACGATGCCAGGAGAGTGAGGCATCCTGGGATGTATGGAAGCAAGCGCAGGACCAGAGTTCAGATGAGGCATCTTCTCTCCAGGTGATCTGACAAGTGACTCATGGTTTCTCTGCGTCCTTCATGCTGATCTAAAGGCATGAGCTGTCCAGTAGAAATGATTAGCCCATCTATGCCATTTGTCTAGATTATTAATCTTATCACATCAGAAAATAGTGACTTATCACCTGCCAAGTCCCACCAACCACAGTTATCTCTTTGATCCCAGGGTGCTCTGTTTCTGAGGAAACCAGGCTTGTCTGGTCCCCACCCCACACTATCCTATCTATTCAATCAGCACAGTTTTTTGCGTGCCTCCTCCAAGCAAAGCATTGTGGTTGCTGATTAGGAGTACAAAGAGGGTCTTTCAACATTCTAGAATTCAGCCACGGTTCACCGAGGCCGGCCCAGGCTGCCAGACACTGCTCAGGTGCTGGCGGATGCGGCAGTGAATACAACAGCAGAATCTTCATCTGCAGTCTAGTGGAGGGATGAGGTGTAACAACTGCCTCCCATCCCTTAGGACAGCTTCTGATGTCCTCTGGAGAGTGACCTTTCATCTTGGCATTTTTGGTTGGACTGTGTTTTGGTTCAGTTTTTTTTTTTATCTTGAACTTGCAGTTCTCCAGGCTCAGCTTCCTGGGGTACTGGGATTATAGGTGTGCACCACCATTGCAGCTCTGGTTTGGCTCTTAGGTGTCCCCCCAGAAGCTCCTGTGTTAAATGGCTCCTGCTGATAGCGTTTAGGAGCCAGGACCTCGTTAGAGGAACAGGTCACTGAGGATGTGCTTATGAAGGGTATATGAGGACTTACCTCTTTTTTCTTCTTTTTCCTGGCCACCATGAGGGAATCCATTTCCTCTGCCACAAGTCCCCACCATAGTGCTCTGTCTTGCTATAGGCCCTAAGGCAAACTGGCCAAAATACCATAGACAGAACTAACCCTGTGAAACTATGAGCCAAGCTGTTTATCTCAAGTACTTTGTCATAGTAACAGAAAACAGTAACACACACTCTGAATTTAGGGTCCCTGTGTACTCCAAAGCAATACAGGTCCAACACCAAGACTGAGCACACTCTTGCCCTACCAGGTCACTATCATGATGTACTCATTTGCTGCTCGCCACACCTGTGAATAGTTGTCCCCACATTCAGAAAGGGAAGCCACGCCTACCAAGAATGACTTGCCCTAAGTCACGTGGCCAGTAAACGGTAAAGATTCAAACCCACACTGTCTGGTTCCAGAGTCCAGCTCTTAACCAACAGTCTCAACACCAGTCTAAACTGCCTGGCAAAGTCAGTGAGCTTGTGTCACTGGGTGTGGCTATGGTCCACTCTAGTCCAGTTATTTTTTGTTCTAGAGATAAGAATCATGAGGATCTGCGTGAATCACACACAGATAGCACAGTGACAGCAAATTTCTTCCCTTGCCAGTGTTCAGAGATGATTGCCTGTGTTCCATTCGCCTGTACTCCTGGCACTTCCCTGGGTGTAAACAGATTCTCAAGTGCCCATTATGGCCGCAGGTCACTCCATGTGCGCTCTGTGAACTCTATTTGAACTTCAGTTAGTCAGAATTGGTTTCAGTTCATGCCACCAGGAGCTCCAACACATACAGAAATCAGCACAGTTACCTTCAACACATGGCAGAAACAAGGAGCTTGGGGCTTCACAACTGTGCTAATATTTGAGAAAACCAGAGGAAGTTCAGGTGTAGGGGGAGGAGTTCCTTCGAAGAGAAGGCAAGCTCAAGGCAGGATGCAAGTCAAATATGCCAGCATCCCCAGGGTGCATATTTTCATCTCAATCACTGAAAAAAAATTGGTCTGGGCTCCCATCTGACTCCTTCTCCTTCTTCCCTTGGATGTGAAGATTGATGCTTGCAGGGAGCAGACCGCCAGTGGTGTCTCGCACAGGGCGCAGACAGACATCAAAGTTAATCCTCTCTCTGATCTAAGCAAAATGGTGCTGAGGTTTTCCTGGGACAGTAGCTCCACTAATCATGGCACTGCAGCCCAGTGCGTGTGTTTTAGAATGTTGTGGATTCTCCAGAAGTATCATTACCGGACACTCAAGGTTGAGAACAGAGCCATCTCATGCAGAATCCGCTGGGCCGGTGTGTTAAGAAGAGAGGGAATAAGCAAAGGCTTCGGTGTCTTTTGGGGAACTAGGACTCTCCTGCATCTCTGCTTATCTGTGGGTGCATCTATTTAGATCACATCAAGTTTGTCTCCTTCTAGCTGCCATTTCTGTGTAAGAGACAACCCCAGGTGCCTGCGTGGCTTTATGTTTTACCATGCTTTATAACTCCATTTTAACTCGTGTTACTATGACTTCCAAAGTGTGTCAACCCGGCTTCCTGCTGAATTCTGCACACATGCCTGGTGGACAGCTTCAGGTTCAAGACTACTTCCTCCTATGCTGTCTTCACTGTGATGGACCCGCGTGATACGTGGCCTCATCTGCTCTCCCTGGCCAAGGCCTCCCAACTCGTCTTGCATGTGCCCTTTCATCACTAAGCCA